GTTGAACCTAATTATCTTTTTCTAAAAATTTAGAAGAATATACTTCTTTTTAGATTTTTCCATTTATTCTTAATTTTGATGCTTAAATCAGCACCAAAAAATATAATATATACATACGTGTAATTACATATACGTGTAATATACATATACACACATATATACACATACACACGTGTGTGTGTGTGTGTGTGTGTGTGTGTATGTGTGTATGTTGTTCCAGGGACTGGGAAGTCACTATTAAAGTCATTATCCAGAGATGATGAAGGAGCCACTGAGGGTTTACTCATTCTCTGCAAACAGATCTCCAACTGTTCAAGGCCTATCCCCAAGCGGTTCTTCTTCTTAGGAGATACTCTCCACTGGACTCTGTCATTAGATCTGAAATTTTTACAAATGAAATTGATCTCTGTGGAGATAGGTTCTGACCAAGACTCCTTAGCACTCCCCGAAAAGGCTCTGGCTTGGGGACTGGGTCATCCAGTCATTTGTTTCTCAGAAGTCCTGGCAGATTGGGGCTATCATCAGAGAAGCACCCCCAGCTCTGTGGAGCTCTCACGTGGGAGAAAAATCAGGCGTCTAAGAAGTCCATACTCACTACCGTGGAGCTCTGGAGTTAAGCCTCCCTCATGCCTGGCTTTATCTTGGCCTATGATTTTTACAGGCTCAAAGAACTAGAGCTGAATGGGGACTTCAGATGCCATTTCCCCCAATCTCCTAATTTTACAGATGAGGAAACTGAGGAAGGTTAAGTGATTTGTCAAAAGTCACACAGATGGATAGCATCAGAGACAGCTTGGAAGTTCCATATGAATGTGGAAATTCTTTGGTCATATGGCTTTAAATTCAGCATCTGAAGGAGAGAGAAGAATAGCAACACCAGGACCAGGGAAAAACCCTTCCCTTCACATGATCAAACCTTATCACCTCATCTTACTTCTTCTTTTGCTTCTACTCCATGAAGAAAAAAAAATAAGGAGTAGTGAATTACAGTGGAGAGAGCACTAATCAAGGAGTTAGAAGGCCTGGGTTTGAATCCGAACTTTGAACCTTACTGTGTGGCCTTGGGCACGTCACATCCCCTCCTTGAGCCTCAGTTCCCTCTGAAAAATGAGGAGGACAGGACTAGATGATCTCTGTGGTCCCTTCCTTTCCTGCTCTAACATATTGTGTTTCCACTGAAATCATCTTACCATTTGATTTATCCAACAATCAAACAGTCTCCAAACTGTGCAAATTGAAGGTATCACCACATTTTTTCACCCCAAAACTAATATTATTTCATACACATGCCTATACCACAGAGGAAAAACAATAAGCAGCAGACAGTTTTTAAATGCAACATCTATTATTCTGGGAATAGCTTTTAGGTCCTCAGTCAGCCAGACCATTGCTTTTCAGAAGGGCTTAATCTGATGCCCAGATTACACACGCCCCCCGTGTTCACCTCTAACCCGATATTGGCCCCAGGCACCGGATGCTGCTGATATTGAGAAGCAGAGATGAGACAGCTAGGAAACCAGATGTGGCCCAGCCGAAGAATGGCTTTCCAAAACTCTAATTGGGTTTTAATTAAATCACCCATCTTTTCAATAGGGGAGCTTTTAGGGCAAAGTAAAACGAAGAGTTATTATCTGCCAAACTTAATATCTGTCACTTGCCCTTCTTTTTCTCCTAGTGTCTCTTAGAAACCAGGCAGTTTCAGACACAGAGCCTCCTACACCATAAGAACAGTGTTGCCCCATATCTTCTTCTACTCTGTGATTTAGGGATGCCTTGGTTTCAGGGGCAGTGAAGTCACCTGAAGACTCTTTCTCTTATCCTTTTGCTATCAAGGTGTCCCTCTTTTCCTCTATTACCCCTCTTTCTTTCTTCTCATCTGCTACAACATCTGCAATGTGCAAACTGTGTATTTCCAGACAGCTTTTTCAACAGGAGATGTAAAGTCTGGTTCATCAAAAGCCCAATAAACATTCATCAATCAACTGGGAAGGCTGGTTAGGTTTTTAGGCAGCCTTATCTTCTTGTTACATACAGGCCTCTAGCCCTGCAGGGTCCCTCTGTATCTGCTCAGAACCCCAAACTTCTAGCTTGATTTGGGGGTGTTTCCTTTGGGAAGGATATTGAGCCTTCTAGTCTCCTGCAACACAAAGTTTTTATTAATCAGGAGCTAGGTATGGACAGTCTCCTCCATTTCCCCCTTCTCTTGCTCCCTTAGTTCTCCCACTAATAACATGACTGCTCATTATCACCTCTACCAGAAAGAAGAGACAGACAGAAAAAGGTAAAATTCAAATCTGATTGGCCAGAGCCAGTCTGTTCTGTTTCCTTTTTTAGCAATTATAACATAAAAGTTAGTCTGAGGACGGAACTGCAAGGGAGACTGGGATTTATTTCTCAGACTTGATTTTTCCCTGCTCCACCCTCACTCCTCCAGCTAATTGGGAATTGGTGGTACCTGATTTTTCTTACATAGGAAAGAAGCACTGACTTTGAGAGTTGGAAGGACGTCACTGACCATCTAGCTCAACACAAACCTAAAAGGAATCCGCACTCTAACATACTGGCACGTGATCACTCAGCTTCTGCTTGTAGGCCTTCCTTGAAGATAATATCCTCCCCGAGTCTTCTCTTCTCTACAATTAAACTTCCCAAGTCTTTTTAAATGATCCTTATATGATGTGGACTCAAGGCCCTTTGCCATCCCATTTACCCTCCTCTCTGGATGCTTTCCAGTTTATCTGTTTAGTTATTTTTTCAGTTATGTCCAACTCTTTCTGACTTGCCTTGAAGTGTAGCGTGTGTGTGTGTGTTGCATTATAGCATGCTGCCTTTTGGGGGGACAAGAACAAAGGAAAAAACTCTCTTATAGGAGTGAGACTCATCTCCAGAAATCTGAGGTTACTTCCTATAAAGCAGTCAGCTTGGAGTCAGGAAGACCTAAGTTCAAATCTGGCTTGAAACATTTACTAGCTTCGTGACCCTAGGCAAGTCACTTAATCCTATTTGACTCAGTTTCCTCATCTATAAAATGAGCTGGGGAAGGAAACGGCAAACTGCTCCAGTATATTTGCCAAGAAAACCCCAAATGGGGTCATGAAGAGTTGAACATGACTGAAACGACTTAACAGCAACATCACTTCCTATAGTGAATTCCAAGACATGAGGATCTGGCCTGATAGTCAGTAAAATAACATATTCTTGTTTGTTCCTATTTGTCCTGTATTCCAGGGTAGTGGTCTCTCCCTTCTCTTATTTCGGAGAGGCTGCTCTTTTAATTGACTCCAGGTCCCCACTAACAAGTCTATATACTCTCCATCCCGGGCCAAGCTAGTGTCAGTCCCAACAGAGACAGAGAAATTACAACTGGCAGATGGCATCCTGTCCTTCTTCTCATCTTCTCCCCACATATTCGAATCTTAACCTCTGGATTGGAGTGTCCAAGAGCAATTTAGATTAGAACACTTAATTAGATCATTCCAGGCTTGACAGGAGGGAGGTGTGAGTAGGTGGAAGGATGCTGGTGTCAGCTATCACCTCTTTAGGCCCCCAGAAAAGGATGGGCTTATCTGAAGTAGTAGCTAGGGGCTTACAGGAGAAGGTTTTTCACCCTGAGACTCTGATAGGCTTAGGAAAGAGCTCAGGGGGTAGGGTTGGCAGGGAGGGGCTTATGAGATTAGCTCCAGAATGAGAGAGGGTGTAATTAATGTGGCCAGAATTTTGGTCACAAATTCTCATGCTCTGGGTGCCAGAGCTTCATAGTATAAGCAAACTGAAGCAAAATTCTCATACTAAATCAAAGTCCTGGGGTAACATACTCTAGATTCTCCTACCTAGTAGGTTAGGTTAAGAAAATCTTCATGTTTCCACTTGGGACCCAATACCAAAAGGTCTAATACAGATAACAAAAGCAATGCCCCTGAAGCAAGATAAAGTGGCTCACTGTTTGCAGGTTTCTAGTCACCAGCGAAGTCCTTTCCTCTAGTGATTGGTTCATAAACACTCAAAGAAAGCTAATCTCAAGAGGAAACTCTTAGGAAGGAGGAGGGGAAAGAGGACTGGGGCAGGGGGCGATGTGAAGGAGTGGGAGAAGAGAGCCTTTCTTGATGACACAGATTGCTAGAGCTGTCCACATCTAATCTTAGCACCTCATGCTATCAATCTCTCACCACTGGAAGCACAATCTATCATGGTGATTTTTCCAGTAGAAAAAAGACATAAATGATAGTAATTTTTATCCACACACTTGTCTAGCTACTCAGTCAATAAGAGCTATTTTTCTTCTGACCATGATGGGCTGAGAGACTTCCTTGTGTACTGTCGTCCCTTCAGGGGGTGCTCCAAGACCAGCTGAGCTGGCTCCAGAGCAGTGTAGGACAAGTTAAAAACTAGAGAGCTAGGCCACAGGCTTCCAAAGCAAGCCTCTTCCTCTCCTCGTATACCTGACACATAACCTAGCACCTACCAAGGCTTGGGTGGGGGGCAGGGCATCCTGTAGAATGGGAAATGAACAACTGTGTTGAAGGCAAGGCCCTAGAGATTACTTAGTATGACTTGTAGCCTGGCTTGGGATATCAAACATTTTGATTTTAATTTCTGCTCTTTGGGGAACACACTTTTCCTTTTAAAAGCAAACCACAAGGACATTAAAACATATGCACGCAAATGCTACCCTCTCCCTGGTTCCCAACGAGACTGAGATAGCCTATAGATTATGTTTTCCTTTTCCTTTACTTACCCATCAGTTCCCCCATCCCCTCCATCCCACTCCTCACCCCAGTCCAGCTTTTAGTGTGTGTGTGTGTATGTGTATGTTTTCTTTTAAATCCATAAGGTAATTGGTTTTCTGGAGGGCTAACCAAATTTCTCCAATTTAATTTGCAAAGATGCTCCATGAGGATCCATTACAGCACATACTGTCCTGCAGATTGGATTAGTGGCCTCTCTGGGGCTGCTGATTTCTGAATTGAAAAGCGTGGCCCTGGCCAGTATAACCCGATTACCTGAGCAGCGGAACTTCTTGCTCTTGATTTGGCTGATGCGCTTGTTGGCGAGGCGCCTTGGGCTGCTGCAGCGGGCCCCGCTCGTCTCGATTGGGTTATCCTGGAGGTAGTCAGCCAGCCACTTCAAGTGGCAGTCGCACACAAATGGGTTTTGGGCTAAATGTCTGAGAGAGAGAGAGAGAGAGAGAGAGAGAGAGAGAGAGAGAGAGAGAGACAGGGCGGTTAATTAGGAATGACCTGTGACGCCACGCCCATTGCTCTCTCTCCTCGTGCTGGAGTAATAGAATTCCAAGCTCCCACCACTCTTGCCCCCTGCCAGAGATGGGAGGGGGAGAGGATATAGGAAGGTGGGGGCTTGCTTTCAGACATGACTTATGGAGGGGGCACTAGGAGGCCTGTTACATAGAAATGGCAAACATGAGAAGAACTGGCAGTTACTTTCCAGGTGCTCATTCTCCAGTCTTCTCACCCATCCTCCTATACTCTACAGCTTTGCATGGCCCCTGTGTCAGGATGTATTTCTCAGCCTACCCCAAACCCATGGAATTCTCTATAGCCAAGCCAGGCTTTATTTGTTAGGGCCTGCGTCTGATTGCTGTGAGAATATGTATCGCACAAAACAATCCCAGAAGGCTTCCATATAATTAATAATTCAATTAGTTAACAAACATTTATGAAGCACCTACTATGTTCTAGGCACTGTGCTAAACTCACATTTAAACAGTGCTGCAAAGCATTATTTCATGTTCCTTATAGGAGCCCTCTAAGATAGGGGGGCCAGGATTTGTTTGCAGCTCTTAATAAGTTCACTTAAAAACATGAAGACATCTCCCCAGTCCTTGGAGTGAATGGCTAACCAGGAGGTGTTGGAGAGTAGAGAGCTGGCCAGCTGAATGCTTATCTTCTAAGAGAGCACATTAATCCTGTGTATTGGGTAGCCTTGGTGACTGGGTTTTGGGGTGCTCCTGATCAGCTTAGTGTCTACTGTAGGTTCCCACATGCTTGTAGCTCTTCCCAGAGACCCACACCACCAAGGCCCATGTACTCACAGTGTCTGGATGGACTGCAGAGGAGCAAAGAGACCTTTGCTGATGGTTTGCAGTTTATTGTCATACAGGGAGAGCAGGTGGAGGTTATGCAGATCTTGGAATGTGTTTACCCGTAGACAGTTGATCTTGTTGGCATTGAGAAGCCTGGAAGCAGAGGAGGGGTTTATAAACTAACTAAAGAAGGCTAAGTTTGGGGCAGGTAGAAAAGCTCCAAATACTCTTTATTATAAGAACTTTGGGCTTCTGCTGCTCTTGAGGGAAGAGTTATAACCATGAGGCCATCCATAAAGCCTTCAAATCAAGCCATCAGCAAGCATTTATTAAGTTTCTACTATGTGCCAGGTACTGACCACACAAAGAAAAGGATGAAACTATACATACACACACACAAACATGATCACACACATGCCAAATAACAGAAAAAACAGTCACAGGTGTATATAGCCTAATACACCAGTGTTTATAATAATAATAGCCAATATCCATCCATCCATCCATCCATCCATTCATCCATCTATCCATCCATCCATCTATTGTTCTATGTTTTACAAACTGTTTTATAAACATTAACTTACTTGATTCTCACAACAACCCTGTGGAGTAGATGTTATTACTAGCAACCTTTTATAGATGAAGAAGCTAAATAGCTTCCAGTTTTGGAATTCAGAGATCAGGAAATTCTGTAGCTAGTTAATCTAAAATCCTTATTTTACCTATGAGGAAATTGAAGTCCAAGGATGTTAAGTGACTTGCTCAAAGTTCCACATATAATGTTAGAAGCAGGATTTGAACCCAAGTCTTCCAATCCTAGAGTTAATGTTCTTTCCACTGTACCACGTTATCTCTCTACACACAGACAGGCAATGGTTTTTTCAAAGAGCGTTCCCTACAGTTTGGGAAGACCAGTCCAACCAAGTTTGTTGGATCATAGATCCTAAGGCCTTCTTGGAGTTGTGCCTCTTGGCTGAGGGTCTGGTCCACAGATAGGGTGTTATAAATGTCTGAGCAACAAGCTCGGAGTCTATTCTAGGAGGGGCATTATATCAAGGTTCTTTGGTCTAAAATTATTTTCTTAATGAATTTACCTGGGACTGATTGTTCTACGTTGGATAACAAAGATAAGGACTTAAAAACAAAACAAAACAAAAATGTACTTTCTCTTCAGAGGGATAGTTGTTTAAAGGAGGTTTAACTTGTCCGCCCTGATGTGAATGGCTGTTTAACTCCTTGGTAAGTGGCCATATAACCCACAGACTGGTGACCATAGAATGTATCTAGAGACTCTTAAACTAAGATCCATCAGTGATCAAAGGAGTATGGGAGACATGGAGTTAACAGGGTTGACACACCTGCTTTCATGGGCCAATCACTCTATCTGAGCCATTCACTGAAATGGAATTTCAGTCTCCATCTGACTTAGGGTACAATCTCCTAGCTGGTCTCCCTGAGTCCAACTTCTCCCCTCCCCAATCCATCCTCTACAAAGCTAGCAAAGTAATCTTCCAACACACAAGCCCTGCCTTGTCTCCTGAACAACCTTCAGTGGCTTCTTATTCTCACTAGGATAAAATATAAGCTTCCCAGCTGAGCATTTGAGGCCATCTACAAACTGGCTCTGCCTGACCTTTCCATTTATTATTTTACATGACTCCCCTTCACACATTCTACCTTAGAGCTAAGCTGGCTCACTTGCTGTTGCCCAAACAGCCCATCTTACACATCCATGTATTCTGAAAGCTATCCCCCATGCACTTCATCCTAATGAATCAATATGGCTCAGCAAAGGTGCTTCAGGAAGCCTTTCCTGACAACTCACTTCCCTGTCTCATTGTTATTGATCTAGCCCCTCCTCAAAATCATCTTGTACTTATTTGTGTTCAAGTTGTATCTTAGCCCTGCCCCATTGGAATGTAAGCTCCTTGACGGTGGAGGCCTATTTTGTTTTTGTTTCTTTATTCCTAGCACATAGCACAAAGCCTTGCACATAGTAGATATATAATATTTATTGAATTTAACTGAATGTATAGGTGAGAAAACTGACTCACCATGTATTCTCCAGATATATAAGGCCAGCATAGGGAGTGATACATAAAACTACCCATGACTAATGGACAAAATCCCAGGGCACTCATTTAGTTTTACCCTGCAGCTAAGAATTGTTTATGTGTGTTGGAGTGCTTTTATAATTTTCTGAGTCCTCATGTACATTATCTAATTTAATTCTCATAACAACCATACACGGGCATTCAGGGCTGGTATCAACTTTTACAGATAAGATAATTGACTCTGGAGAGGTTAAATAACTTGCTCAAGGTTACACAGGAAATTAAGTGACAAAGTTAGAACTTGAATGCAGACCTCTTGACTCTATTAGTTACGGTGCTGCAATGATACAGCATTAGAGTTTTATAACATAGATTATTCTGTTACATTTTTATGGCATCCATTAGCTTCTCCGTACTGTGGATTTTGGAGGTTTTCCATGACATCTATTTCTGTCTCCCTGTTCATACTGTTCTCAGCTTTTTTCCCCTGCTAAGGGCATTCTATGCCAGTCACTACCAAACCCTCCCCTCTTCTTAAATTTCCTATTACTCTCAAGGGCACCACCAACACCCTAGATACCAAGGCTCAAAACCTTGGTGTCATTCTTAACTCCTCATCTCAAACTCAAATCTTGTTTTTCATCTTTGCAACCTGGCTCAGATGTACTCTTTTCTCCATTCACACAACCCCCTCTCATCACCTCTTGCCTGGGCTTCCTGAGTCTCCCTGCCTCCAGGCTCTCTCTACTCCAATCCATCCTCCATTCAGATTCCAAAGTAATTTATTCAGTGCACAGGTCTAACCATACTCAATAAATTTCAGCTGATTACTGAACTCCAAATACAAAATCCTCTGTTTGGCATTTAATGCCCTTCACAACCTACTCCTTACATACCTTTCCAGTCTTTTTATATTTTACTTCCCTCCATACCCATTATCCATTATCGATAATCCAATTGCATTGGCCTTGTGGCTTCTCATACACCACAGTCCATCTCTTGACTGTTCATTTGCACTGGTTATCCATGTCTAGAATGCTGTACCTCTTTACCTATGACTCCTAGCTTTCCTGGTTTTCTTCAAGACTCAGCTTAAATCTCACTTTCTATAGGAACCTTTCCTTTTCCTCACCCTGACTTTCAGGCCTTTCCCTTTGAGATTATCTTCCATATTCTCTCTCTCTCTCTCCTCCCTCCCTCTATAGATATCTCTATATCTTACATGCATAGCTATTTGCATGTTGTCTTCTCAGTTAGAATGTAATCTCTATGACTACATGAATCAACCATGTTTTTGCCTTTCTTTGTATTTCTGATGCTTATAGATTGGCTGGCACATATTAAGTGTTTAATAAATCGTTGCTGACTGACTATTTTATCCCATAAACTCTGGCCAAAGGCACCAATCATTTGAGCAAGAACACTTTTCGGATCCAAGAATGACCTTTTCAAGTAGGGAACAAGTCAGAACAAACTGGAGGATGAGGGGATTCAGAAATAACTTGGATTTACTGGTTGGGAACATTAACAAAAATTCTTAAAAAAAAAAAACAAAAAAGATTGCACCTTCAGGGGAAAAAATGTATTATATAAACAAATCATTTAAAAACTGACTTGCCTAGAACTTCTGGAGAAATTAGTTTGGGTTTTTTAAGGAGAGCTGGAACCATTTGATGAGGAATTTGGGGTTCTGCAGAAAGCTAGTCATTTTTCCTGGGCTGCTTTGAGGGTTCAGCTGTAATCTTTTCATTTCAGACTCATGGATCAATAGTAAAAGCGGAAGGATGGGATAGTGACTGTGAAATATCTCCCAGATGACAAGGCATCAGAAAGAAAGCATGGAAGAATTACTCTTAAAATGTACAGTGAAACTGGTCTAGATCCCAAAAGACATGGAACAAAAAAGGATGGAATATTCTTTCTTTTTCTTTCTTTCTTAGATTTCTTGACTCTTGAAGGTGGCAAACATAGGTGCAGATTAAGATGCAGGAAAGCCACTTAGTCTTAGGGTATGCCAGTTCTAAAGTCTAGGGAAAGCCTAAACTTACCAGCTCCGACCAGGTGACAAGGTCACAAAGTCTGTGCCTCCACCCTATCTCTTCTTTCTGAGGGAGCCTTTACTTGGTCAGGCCAACTCAATTCTCCTGTTTAACAACCTATGAGCTTTCTGGGCTGCTGGTACGGAACTAGGACATTTAAAAAGAAATGCTTTTTAGCAAACTTGGAGTAAAGAGAATTACTCAACAGAGGAATCAGCAGGTTTCCAAATTGGGAGCATCAGATCTAGAAAGTGGTCTTTTTGTTTTATGCACAGCCCTCTTTCTTCCTCTTCACTGGACTTTGCCATCTACTCTGCTACAGCACCTTCTGGATCACCAGGCCTCACTATGTGCCCTGCCACCTCACCCTAAGGGCAATCAGATCCCTCTATCTACTCTGCAGCCTAATCCTCTTCTTATTTTATTTCCTTCCATTAGAATGTGAGCTTCTTAAGAATTAAGGGACTATTTCTCTCTTTTATATTTGTATACTCAGAATTGAGCACATAATAAGCACTTAAATGCTTTTTATTCATTCATTCTGTTGAGTGCTGGGACACACTTTCAGGTCAGGGCTACTACAGTACTTTTTTTTTTTTAAGGACTGGTCTTTCCTACTTTGAAGTGTCTCACTGAACAACTAGTGCATGAAATATCCATTTTCTATTCCTCTTCCTACAGAGATCATTCAATATTTGCCTCTGGAGAGTGGCTACTTTTGCAAGCCTGGTGATCCACTCAGACAGGTATACCTGAAGTCCAGGTTAGCCCTGATGCAGTGTGGGGAATAGTGAAACAACAAGCAAGAGGTGATGAACTTGATCACTAGATCAAGCAATGAACAACCAGCAAGCGGGCAGCATCACTCAAGAAAGTAGCCTGCTTACTGCTGAGAATGCCGAGATCAAGGGAAGAAGATAGCCCCAAACTGGTACACCCAAAGCCTGAATGTGCTTCTGCAAAATGATGAGGGCTCCCTAATTGAATTATATGCAACAAGGAACAGTCAAAGATACTACTCTGAACTTCCTAAACGTAATAGGAAATAATTATCTTTGAG